GAGGTTCATCAGTCTAACCACCAATTTATACTTCTTAATTCCTTCATCTTTTTCACCCGTCCCTCCAAAAACTATGGAATGCTTCATGAATTTGCATGTCATCCTTGCAAAGGGGCCATGTTAATCTTCTCTGTATCGTTCCAATTTTAGTATATGTGCTGCCAAAGTGAGTACTGACTGCTTTCTCTTCATATAAATATATCATTCATCCAAAAGAGAGTATGCAGAGTATAGAGAAAGAAAATAGATGAACACCCTTATGTTCACCATGTTAAAAGTGAAATAGAGCCCTGGCCAGTTTGGCTCAACGGTTAGAGCGTCAGCCTGCGGTCCTGAGAGACCCGGGTTCGGTTCCTGCTAAGGGCACGTACTTCGGTTGCAGTTTGTCCCCGGCCCTGGTTGGTCGTGCGGGTGGCAGCCACTCGATGTGTCCCTTCACGTCGATGTTTCTCTCTCTCTCTCCCTTCCTCTCTCTCCCTCCCACTCTGTACAAAAAATGGAAAAATATCCTCGGGTGAGGATAAAAAAAAAAAAGTGAAATAGAACATTAGAAATACTGCCCCCCCCCCCAAAAAAAACAGAGTCTCACCATGATTCTGTTTATTCTCTACTATAAGTAACTATCATCCTCAGTTTTGTGTCATTCATTCCTCTTATTTTTATTTTTTAGAACTAAATCTTTATTAAATTTTTTATTCCATGAACATGGTATATCTCCTCATATATTTAGATGTTGTTTAATATTTTTCAATAGAGTTTATCATTTTAGCCAGAATGATTGTGCATTTCTTGGTTAGACATATGTCTTTTTATAAATTAAATTTCTAACTTATTGTTGATGGAGTATAAAAATATAATTGATTTAGTCCAGCTGGTATGGCTCATTGATTGAGCGTTGACCAATGCACCAAGAGGTCATCAGTTCAATTCCTGGTCAGGGCACATGCCCAGGTTGTGGGCCCGATTTCCAGTGGGGGGCATGCAGGAGGCAGCCAATCGGTACTTCTATCTCTCTCTCCCTCTCCCTTACTCTTTAAAATCAATAAAGAAAAAAAAATGAAAATATGTATATAGTTGATTTCTATATATTTGTATATAGCCCAAATCCTGCTAAATCTTATTGATGATAATATATGTCTGCAGATTCTTTTGAGTTTTCTATGTAGACAATCATATCATCTATGAATAATAACAATGTTGCTCCTTTCGTATCAATTGTACCTTATTGTACTGGATAAGACGTCTAGTACAACACATTTTGTGTTTGGAATCTTAAGGAAGATTGTTTTCAAAGTTTTACCATTAAGATTAAAAGTTGTGCAACTTATTTTATAGGTAACTTGTACTAAGCAGGATACGCTGTGGTAACAACTTGAAAATTTTTAGCAGCTAAAACAATAAAGGTTCATTGTTCATCACCTCGATCACTCATTATAATTGACAGAGAAAACATTTTAAATATTGCTAGACATGATGCCAGTTGGGAAATATAAAGCTCTGGAAGGTCTTCTTACTTTGGTAATTAAATGTTTTGGCTTAGAAGTGACTATGTCTGCCCAAAACTCATTGGCCAGAAATAGTCATATGGCCTTATTGAATTGCAGGGCCAAGGAGTGCATCTTCTCCAATAAAACCCAAAATCTTTGAGAAACAGTACTCAGGACCACCAATATCCTTTACAAGGTTGAGGACTCACCCTTATTTCTAACTTGCTATGTTAACATGATTCTTTTTTTTGGCACATGCCCCTAGCGGGAACCAAACCTGAAACTCTCTGGTCCGCAGGCCAATGCTCCAACCACTGAGCCAAACCGGCCAGAGCTACAGTGTTTTGTGGGGGTTTTTTTTGCATCTGTTGGCTATATATGTCTACATCGAAAGCCGTTTTTTTCTCTCTGCTCTTTGATGTTATCATTCCACTGTCTTCTGACTTCATATTGCTGTTGCAACTCTTCCATTAACCTCTTTGTCATTTCCTTGTTAACTGTATGTATCAGGAAAGGGTTAATTCAGCAAGCCTATACATTTCCCACAGTCCTCAGGACTCTTCTGTGGCAAGACTCCTGAGAGATGACCTTGGAGTATTTTGCCTGATAAGAATATATATATATATATATATATATATATATATATATATATATAGTGATACCTCGGTTCTCGAACGCCTTAACTTTCAACCAAATCGGTATTCGACCAGGAGATTCGAGAAACTTTTGTCTTGGAATCCGAACAAATATTTGGAACTCGAACTTCCGAGATGAGCCGAGTTGAGCCGAATGGCGTTCATTCGGCCCAGCGCGCCTTGCTTGCGCCATCAGTGTGAGTGCAGAGAGAGAGTCACGCTTTGTGGAGAGAGTCACGCTTTACACTGAATTTAACCCTTAGACATACTGTACACTTTTATTTCTTGTTGAGACTTATGTTTTTCTACATATTATATACAAATCAGGCCAGTAAATAGGCATTTTCTGGGGCTTGGAACGAATTAATCCAGTTTCCATTATTTCCTATTGGGTTTCATTGCTTCGGTTCTCGAACAATTTGGTTCTCGACCGTCCTCCTGGAACAAATTATGTTCGAGAACCGAGGTATAACTATATATATATATATATATATATATATATATATATATATTTATTATTGATTTTAGAGAGAGAGGAAGGGAGAAGGAGAGAGATAGAAACATCGATAAGAGAGAACATTGATTGGCTGCCTCCTGCATGCCCCCTACTGGGGATTTGGCCCACAACCTGGGCATGTGTGCTGACCCAGAATCAAACCGGTGACCTCTTGGTGCATAGGTTGACACTCCACCACTGAGCTACACCAGCCAGGCAAAAATGTCCTTTTCTTTTTCTTTTTGTTACAGATATTTCTTCTTTTTCCCCCATTGACACCCTCCTCCCAGCCCCCCCTTCCCCAAGAATATCTTTTATGTCCTGAGCCACCCAGATAGTTTATGCTAACACTGTTTTTGATGCCAAAGTCTTTGGGTCACCATGCTTGACCTCTGGGGGACTGGGGTCTTAGTCAAGGCTCTCTGAGCTTTCCTAGTTGGCAACACTTTGCACATGGGAGAATTAATTACTGTTCATGTGATTCAGCTAGGAGAGGATAACTCAAAGCTTGTCCTCCTGGATTCAGTGCTAAAGGCCTTTTCTCCTGGACCCCACTGTATGTACCTTTTCCCTTTGCTGATTTTAATCTGTATCCTTTTGCTGTAACTATGAGTATAACATATTTTCTGAGTCCTATGAGTCTTTTTAGTGAATCATTGAGCCTGAGGGTGGTCTTGGGGACTGATAAATCTTTGTTTCTGGCTCTTTTACAGCCCTTCTCATAATTGGATTAGTGGTTTTGTTTGCTAGTCTTTTTTATTTTAATTTTGCTTGGGCTATTAGTCTTCCTGAATCTTTGGACTCATATCTCTCATCAGTTTGGGAAATTTCTCGGCTATTATTTGATTTTTTTCTCTCTGGAATGGTAATTAGCATATGTTAGGCCTCTTCCTGTTCTTTATATCTTTCAACTTCTCTTCAGTATTTTTCATTTATTTGTTGTATTCTGGGTAATTTATTCAGTAATTCTCTCTTCGGCTCTATTTGCTATTTAAGCAACTTCCATCAAATTTTTACCACAATTTTATTTTTCATTTCAAGAAGTTCTAGTTGTTTCTTTTTCAAGTCTACTTCTCATTCCTCATGTCCTCTTGCTTGCTCATCCATGAGATTTGAATTGTTAATCCTTTAATCATTTTATACAATGTTATTCTCTTCTGATTTGGCAATCTAATATTTTCTTTTCTGAAGGCTTAAATCCACTGTTTGATATTCTTTTACAGTCTTATACATGGTAGCTTGATTTCTGATGAGTTTGGTGCTTTCTTTATTGTTATAATGAAATTATAGGAGGAAGTGAAATATATTTTGTCTATCATTTCTACTCAGAACTATTCTAGGCTGAATCTTGAATGTCAACTCTGACTCTGATAATTTATTTTCTTGCTCTTATTTGATAAGAATACTGTGGACCTAATTGGGGATCCCATCATCCTAAGAGTATTTGTGTGTGTTTCTACTACAAGAGCTGTAGCTAGGATTAGGTATCAATCTGGGACCTTTAGCTCCTTTTAAAGATTCTGGCTTAGTGCAGGAATCTCAGGTTCAGCACTTCCTTCTTCCTGCTGGCCCATTTATGGTGTCCTTGACTGAGCCTATCACTGTGTCCAGGGGAATGGAGTACATTGATTGGCTAGACTGGGTCTTATGGTAATCTTCAGGCTTAGAAGCATTATCAGCTCCACTTGATCTATATGGAAGGTGTGGTATGCATGCTGGTAGAATGAATAGTTTCTCTCAAGAGAACCAAAAGTACCAGAAGGATGGAAAATGAGTGCTGGGAGGAAAATTGCAAATGTCCACCATAGAGTCTGATACAGAATTTTACAGTAGAAGAGATTTCTATATAGGCTTTATTTCAAGTGAGAGGAGCCCTTGATAAATACATGTCTCTGTTTTTGTGTTCTAAGAAAAAAGAACATCACTTCTGAAAGATAAGATATTTCTTTATTCTAGAGACTGCTTGATAGGAAATTGTCGAATTCACATGAGTTGGGAAATCTAGTGTTTGACTCGGAATTAAATACAAATTGTGTTTTAATTCACTAAATCATGTAAACATTCTCTCCTACTTTGTAGTGATTGAGTCTCAACTCTGTCATTACTTTCTCTCTGTTCTTAAATAAGTCATCCAACCTCTTAGAATCTAAGTTTCCTCATTTTACAAATGGGGATAATATAATCTGCCTCGTCTGGTTCTTACTGAGTATTAAATAAGCAAATGTTTTAAAACCAATTAGTGTCTGGAGTGGATAAGCATTTCATAAATGCTTTTATTAATATTTATGAAATATGGATATTAAGACTATTTGCCTTTGAAAAAGAATGACATACAAATATAGTACATGGAAGAATTATGCAATGTCTGTTCTTCTTTTTCAGGTTGCTTTAAACACATCAGAAATATGTTGTATTATTAGAGCATCACCAGGAACTAGACAAGTGAAAAGTAAAGGTGTTATTGTAAAGAAGAAGAAATATTCCCTTCCTAAAGATATTCCTCAAGGTACTATAGTATGAATGCAGAGCCTACTTTTAAAAAGCTATCAAACATGTTTTCATTGTAAATTCCTTATGTACACACGAAGTACAGTTATGAATTGTATTCTGAGATTTCTTGCACAAGTGGAAACCATAAAATTATGTTTGGTCAGGTCTCAGGACTTCATTAAAGTAATTTATTGAAAGTCAAATATTAATCTTTTAAAAAAATAGCTAATGCCATTGATTTAAAATATATTTAGATGATTCTTCTTATAACTATTCGAAATTTAATGTTGTTGGGTTTTATTTTTAGTAGCATTCTTTTTTTATTTTTTATCTTCACCTGGGGACATTTTTGTATTTTATCTTTAGACAGAGCGGGAGGGAGAGGGGGAGGAAGCGAGAGAGAGAAACATCGATGTAAGACAAACACATCAAGTAGTTGCCACCCACACAACCTCAACCAGGGCCGGGCACAAACTGCAACTGAGGTATGTGCCTTTAGTGGGAGCCAAACCCGGGTCTCTCTGGTCTGCAGGCCTATGCTCTAACCACTGAGCCAAACCAGCCAGGGCTTTAGTAGCATTCTTTTTAAAGCTATCGAGATTTTATATATATATATATGTATATATGTATATATATATATATATTTCTTTTTTTTTAATCCTCACCTGAGGATATTTTTCCACTTATCTTAAGGTAGAGAGAGAGGGAGAGAAAAGGAGAGAGAAATATCGACATGAGAGGGACATATCAACTGGTTGCCTCCCACACAACCCCAACCAGGGCCAGGGATGAACCACAACCTAGATATGTGCCCTTGGCTGGAATCGAACCCAGGACTCATTGGTTCGTGGGCCGATGCTCTACCACTGAGCCAAACCAGCCAGGGCACTATAGAGATATTTTTGCGTTTACTTAACATTGGTTGAGCACTTCCTCTGTGAAAGGCGTTTAGCTAAGCACCTTATTATATATCATTTATTTCTCACTCTGACTTTATGATAGACAGATGTATACTCTTATTCTTATTTTACATATTAAGAATCTGAATCTTAAAGTAGTATGCAATTTGTCCAAAGTCATATTTTTCCAAGTGGTAGGAAGGAGTTCGATCTTTCTTTTTTTTTTAAATGGAGATTTATTTATTTATTTATTCATTCATTTATTTATTTATATCCTCAGCCAAGGACATTTTTCCATTTTTTGTTCAGATAGAGTGGGAGGGAGGGAGGGGGGGAGAGAGAGAGAGAGAGAGAGAGAGAGAGAGAGAAACATCAACATGAAAGGGACACGTTGAGTGGCTGCCACTCTCATGACCAACCAGGGCCGGGGACAAACTGCCACCGAGGTACGCGCCCTTAGTGGGAACCGAACCCGGGTCTCTCTGGACCGCAGGCTAACGCTCTAACTACTGAGCCAAACTGGCCAGGACAATGGAGTTTTATTTTTATTCATTAATTTTTCCTTTTTATCTTTACAGTCAGCCCTCATTTATCACAGTCAATCAGTTCCAGATTCTACCGCAATAAATGAATTTCCACGAAGAAGGATTCTTTATTTATATAGTCGTCCCTCGCCACTTTGCGCTTCAACTTTCCGGGCTTCACTCTATTGTGGTAGAGTCTGGAACTGATTAACTGCAATAAATGAGGGCTGATTCCAGATCTTCACTATTGTAAATAGTGCTGCTGTGAACATAGGGGTACATATATTCTTTCTGATTAGTGTTTCAGGCTTCTTAGGGTATATTCCTAGAAGTGGGATCACTGGGTCAAATGGAAGTTCAATTTTTAATTTTTTGAGGTAACACCATATTGTTTTCCATAGCGGCTGCACCAGTCTGCATTCCCACCAGCAGTGTATTAGAGTCCCCTTTTCTCCACACCCTCGCCAACACTTGTTGCTTAATGATTTGTTGATGCCCGCCATTCTGACAGGTGTGAGGTGATACCCCATTGTTGTTTTAATTTGCATCTCTCTGATGATTAGTGATGTTGAGGATTTCTTCATGTCTCTTGGCCATTTGTATGTCCTGCTTAGAGAGGTGTCTATTTAGTTCCTCTGCCCATTGTTTAATTGGGTTCTTTGTCTTCCTTTTGTTGAGTTGTATGAGCACTCTATATATATTGGAAATTAATGCCTTATCTGATATATCATTGGCAGTTATGCTCTCCCATACAGTGGGTAACCTTTCCATTTTGATGATAGTATCTTTTGCTGTGCAGAAGCTTTTTCGTTTCATGTAGTCCCATGTGTTCATTTTCTCCTTTGTTTCTATTGTCTTAGATGATATATCAGTGAAAAGTGTGCTGCATATGATGTCTGAAATTTTGTTGCCTACATTTTTTTCTAGGATTTTTATGGATTGATGAGTCACATTTAAGTTTTTTATCCGTTTTGAGTTTATTCTTGTGCATGGTGTAAGTTGATGGTCTCGTTTCATTTTTTTGCATGTAGCTGTCCAATTTTCTCAGCACCATTTATTAAAGAAGCTGTCTTTACTCCACTGTATGCTCTTGCCACCTTTGTCAAATCAGTAGACGAGTGGATAAAAAAGCTGTGGTACAGCCCTGGCCGGTTTGGCTCAGCGGTTAGAGCATCAGCCTGTGGTCCTGAGAGACCTGGGTTCGGTTCCCACTAAGGGCCTGTACCTTGGTTGCAGTTTGTCCCCTGCCCTGGTCGGTCGTGCGGGTGGCAGCCACTCAATTTGTCCCTTTCACATCGATGTTTCTCTCTCTCTCTCTCTTCCTCTCTCTCCCTCCCACTCTACCTGAACAAAAAATGACCTCGGGTGGAGATAAAAAAAAAAAAGCTGTGGTACATATACACAATGGAGTACTATGCAGCTGTAAGAAAGAAAGATCTCTATTTCTTTGAGAAGACATGGAGGGACCTGGAAAGTATCCTAAGCGAAACAAGCCAAGCAGAGAAAGACAAGTATCATATGATCTCACTTATTTGTGGAATATAATGAACATAACAGTCTGAGGAATGGGGTAGTCCCAGAGACGTGGAAGTGGGGTACAGACTGACAATCTCCAGAAGAGGGGGTGGTGGGGGAGAGATAAACCACAGAACTTATATGCTTGAACAATGGACATGGACAACAAAGCTAGGGACAGGGCGGGGAGGGTGGGGGAGGAGGGAATCAGTGGGTGGAAAAGGAGAAACACCTGTAACAAAAATAAATAAATAAATTTAAATAAATGAGGGCTGACTGTATGCATATAAGTTCCTTGGTTAGCCTCTTCCTGCCCTCTCCCCCCACTCTGAGATTCCTCAGTCTGTTCCATGCTTTCACATCACTGAATCTATTTTATTCATCAGTTTATTTTGTTCATTAGATTCCACAAATAAGTGAGATCATGTGATACTTGTCTTTCTCTGACTGGCTCATTTCGTTTAGCGTAATACTCTTCAGGTCTCTCCATGTTGCCTTAAATGGTAAGAGATCTATTCTTCTTACAGCTGCATAGTACTCCATTGTGTAAATGTACCACAGCTTTTTAAACCACTCATCTGTTGATGGACACTTGAGCTGTTTCCAGATCTTCGCTATCATAAATAGTGCTGCTATGAACATAGGGGTGCATATATTCTTTCTGATTGGTGTTTCAGGCTTCATAGGATATAGTCCTAGAAGTGGGATCACTGAGTCAAATGGCAGTTCTATTTTTAATTTTTTGAGGAAACTTCATACTGTTTTCCTCTCTACCTAAACTTCAAGTTTAGATTTTTCTATACTTCCCTCACTGCATATCAGTCCCTGTTGATCCTTATCCCTATTTCTTCCACAGAGCCTGGCCTTAGCACTCCCTAAATCCAGAGCAATCTTTTCTAAGTTCTTTGAACACTTAATTCAGTGTTATTTATTTGACAATTAATTATTTGCTACTATCTGACATAACTTATAATACTGACTTTTTATATTCTCTGGATTATGAAATTTTCAAGGACAGAGACCACATAATAGACTTCTATTTCTATCTCAAATAATATTAGCATAGTGGTTGGGAATAGTAGATGCCATATCAGTCAAGGTTCTGCCAAAGAAACATAACTAGTAGGATGTAAATACACACTTCAAGGAATTGACTTAGTGTAATTATAAGGTCTGGCTAAAAACTGTAGTGCACTTTAGAAACTCTTGGGCAGGAGCTGATGTTGATGTAGTCCTCAGGAGGAATTTTTTCCTCCTCAGAGAAACCTCAGTTTTGCTCTTAAGACTTTTCAACTGTTTGGATGAGGCCCACTGGCATTATCAAGAATAATCTCCTTTATTTAAAATCAGTTATTACAGATGTTAACTACATATACAAAATACCTTTGCAGGAACACCAAGATTCGTATTTAATATAATTGGGTAATATAGCCTAGTCGAGTTGACACATACAATTAACCATCTCACTCCACTCTGTGTCAACTATACATTCATACATATCTCCGTAAATCATATTTAATCTCAAAATAAAAACAATAATAGAGTCACACTTCTACCTAACATAATGCAACTTTCCTACATACAACCAAAAATGTGCTAACTCCTTTCCCAGAAGAGAATTCAAAGTCTTTGAGTGATGTTTACTATTCTCTTTGGTATTCTGTAACTCAAGTACTGTAATATAAAGTTAACTATTATTAATACATCTTATATTGGCTGATATGGACATAAGAGAGGGAAGAAAACAAACTTGTTTGCTTAATTAGTCATGAGGTTGTAACTGGTATCTATAACTACCTTTGTACACTACCCATTCCACATTCTCTCCTCCCTCAATAAGTAACTCAGCTGATCATGGTTCTTTAACTGGTGGGATGACACAAACTCTCATTTGTGAAGGGTCTGGGACATTGCTAGTCCTGCTTGGATTGGGTTGTTGTAGTTTTCCATTTACCATTAATCGTAGAGCATGGTAATGGTAAGGGATTTCCTAAAGGATCTCCTGTATTCCAGACTTACCCTTCCATTGGAGAGTAGTAGTCCAGTTTTCCCATGGTATTCAGGATCAGTCACTCCAA